TACTCTACTACTATATATATATATATATATATATATATATATATATATATATATATACATATCTAAAATAAATTTTAACTCTTTTATATCCAAAGCTTAAATGACATTTTGGCGTATTCTCTAACAAACAAAATGGGATAATATATATTTATTTATTTATCTTATTCCATATTTTTTCTATAAAAAATTTTAGTGACTAATATTGTCACTAACTAGAATGTTTATAGTTCATTTTTTGTTCTCTATTAGTTTACCTTCGATTTTTGTGGTCACTACATGGTTGATGGTTAGTAGCTCAAAAATCTTAAATAAAATAAAAATAGAATGGAAAAAAATGAGCAACAATATCATGTATTCAATATCCAATGTAAGTATACAAGTTTTGCTTTCTTTTCCGAATTTATCATTAACTACTTGCTTAATTTTAAAACTTATTACATTTACATATGATAAAAGTCATCATTTTTAACTTAATATATAAAATTTGAGAAAATTTCTTGAAGAAGAAATAAGTAACATGTTGCTTAACGTTTTCTTAAGTGAAGTTCTTTGATAATTTTCTAGTTTATTATTTTGTATAAAACAACACCTTTTGGTTTTGTCTTCTATAAAAAATACACATGCAGACATTTAATCGTAGAAGCTTAAATAGCATAGTGGCAGACTTTACCCTTTTAACTTAAAAGGTCTAAGGATCAAATCTTAGGACAGCCATTTTTGGTTCCCAGGACAAGACATCCCATGTCTGAAATGCAGACATTGCCTACAAGAGTGACAAATACTTCAGACACTTCTGTCATTCTACTTGACTTGTACAGGAAAATTGTCCAGCACGAGTCAGGAAGTGTCAAAACGTGTTCCCACACAACACCGAGCCAAAGACAAGGTGTCTAAGTAAACTGCTCACAGGTGGACAAGAAAATATGGTGAAAACATGCAACATTATCCTCAAATATTATGAGCCACTATCCAATATCAGAAAGGGTAGAAAAGTACCATTTTATCACAAGTGGGAACAAAAGAGTTGCATAACAAAAAATGATATAGTTGCATATTGTAGCATCATTTTGAAATTTGTATTTAAATCAAGACAATGCACAAGCCTATAAGAAGCTATCATTTATGCGAATGATACCGATACTTATGAGGTGCCCACCTTATGCTATACAAGTAAGGCACACCTCCAAACTTTGCCAGAAGATGTAGTTCCGGTCTCTGAAAACTTAAGATGGCTTAAAAACCCATTTCCTATCCTATTTATGAAATTTAAAATTCTAAAAAAATGGTGTAGATCAAGTAGTATTAAACACTTGAAAGTCTTGAAAATAGACATCCAGATAACTTGTTACAAGATGCACTACTTCTAAAGCCTGAAATTCTTTTCTTCTTTATATCCATAAATCTCAAGATAAAGAAGATTAATTAAAAAGTTTCCCAACTTCATAACACTCTTTTCTACCAGATTTTTAAGGTGCACCTTACTTCTATAATATAAGGTTGCAACCTTATGTGAATTTTTTCCATAAATGATTGCTAAAACTTGACAGCACATAAAATTCACATCCAAAGAAAAAACCAATACAGATCTAGAACCAATGATTCAAAAAGCTGACTGCCCAGCCGCCTACGCAGTCCGAAAGGCCTGGGTGCATCGCCCAGGCCTAAGCGACCAATCTGGGCGGTTGATCCCTGGGCGGCTGCCTAGGCGGTACGGAAACCGCCTAGGCGGCTGCCCAGGGCCTATGCCCCACCCAGGGGCAGAAATTGTTTTCAGTAGGGGCAATTTTGGTCCTTTTTTTTTTTTTAAAGTCCAAAAATTACAGTTGTAGATTCATTTGAACCCTAAAACTTGTTGGAGCCAATTTTAGAGAGAGAAAGGCCCCAAAAATCTAGTTTTTAGTGAATTTTTTAAGATTGAAGGGTTTCTCAAAGTTAACAAAAATTGATCAAAACATCACCCATTGATATTAGATTTACTTTTTGATGTTTTGTAAGTTATTATGGGGTTTTTTAGAAGAGTTTGAGTATTTAGAAGCATCTTTGAGGTGGAAGTTTGAAGTTTGAGCAATCAAACTCAAAGTAAGTGATTTTTTTTAATTATTTTAGTAATTTGCATTATGTTTGAGATGTCTTCTTAGAGATCTAAAAGAAGTGGTGATCCCGGTTGGAAATATGGCTACAACCCAGATCCTAATGATAAAAATTGCATAAGATGCAAGTTTTGTGAAAAGGGCACAAAAAGGGGCACAAACCAGTTCAAGAAACATCTTGCCGGTATCAGGAAGAATGTTGCCCTTTGTAAAAAGACTCTTGATGCTTTTAAAGAAGAAATAAACAATTTTTTTAACATGGTGAAAATGAAAAAAGATGAGAGATTTGCCTCTATAGCAGAGATTAGGTCTGGGGTTCAGGGCAATTTTAATGATGATGATAGTGATGAGGAAATGGAGGGATCAAGAGGTTGAGCAATCCATTATTAAGGGAAAGGGGACGGGAGTTGTAATTGCTTCTGGTTCTGGGACTAAGAAGCCTCGTGTTAAAGGCCCTATGGATAGTGTTTTACCTCGGCCAGACCTTGAGGTTGCAGGAGAGAAAACAAAAAAGAAAACCACCATTGAAAATAGAATCAAGAAGGAAGAGAGAGATAAAGCTGCGTATTATCTTGCTACATGGTTTTATGAGGCGGGCATTCCTTTCAATACCGCTCGCTTAAGCAATTTCTATGCTGCGATAGAGGCAGTTGGCCAATTCGACCCTGAGATGAAACCCCCAACCACATATGAGCTTTAGAGCCTTTTTTAAAAAAAGCAGTGAGTGCCAAGAAGGAAGCTGTAGAACTTAAGAAGGATGCATGAGCTCAGTATGCGGTTTCTATTATGACTGATGCTTGGAGTGATAGGAAGAGAAGTCAGATGAATTTGCTTGTGAATTGTCCTGCAGGGACTATCTTTTTTAGGTCTATTGATGCCTCTAATCATATCCATGATGCCCATTACATATTTCAAGTGATAAAGAAGGGAATCAAGGAGGTTGGTAAGCATCTTGTTGTACAAGTTGTCACAGACAATGCTGCTCCTAATGTTGTTGCATCTAATTTGTTGCGCATAGCTTATCCTTGAATCTTTTGGACACTATGTGCAGCACATTGTATAGACCTCATGCTTGAGGCTCTTGGCGGTTTAACTGAGATATCAGGTGCAGTGAAGAAGGCAAAGTTAGTTACAAATTTCATATATAGCCACCATCTCACCCTCAGCATGATGCGTAACTTTACAAATAAGAAAGAGATTGTGAGGCCTGAGATTGTGAGGCCTGAGGTCACGAGATTTGCGACCTGGTACTTATGCCTAAATAGTATACATTCAAGAAGAGTGCAGTTGAGGCAAATGTTTATCTCAGATGAGTGGAGATTATGCAAGTGGTCTAAGGATCAGGTTGAGAAGAAGGTGAGAGATATTATACTTTCTAAGGCTTTTTAGAGAGGGGTGAAGGACGCTCTAAAGGTATTTTTTTCCTCTTGTCAAAGTCCTTCGCATGATTGATAGTGACAAGCCTTCTATGGGCTACATATATGATGTTATGGAGAAATGCAAAAGAGAGATAGCCCAAAATTTCAATGATGAAGAAACCCGCTACAAGCCTATTTTTTAGAGTACTGATGAGAAGTGGGATAGGCAGATACATCGGCCATTGCATGCAACTGGTTATTATTTGAACACAACTTTTTTTTATATTGACAAGGATATACAAACAAATGACACAATTATGAATGGATTTAATGAGTGCGTAGAGGTGCTAGTCCTTGATCCTGATATGCAGGATACTATATGCGCAGATGAGCTGATAAATTACAAGTGCTCATTAAAGTCTTTTGAAAGTCCAATGGCGATGAGGCAAAGGGCCAAAATTGATTCAGGTATTAATATTATTCTTAAGTTCAAACTGTTCAAGTAATCAAGTAATTATATTATTTATTTATGATTTTATTCCATATCTTTGCAGCCCATTGGTGGAGCCAACATGGGTTTAATTCTCCAAATTTACAAAAAATGGCCATTCGGATCTTAAACCTAACCACTTCTTCATCCAGTTGTGAGCACAATTGAAGTACTTTTGAAGGGATAAGGCAGTAAGGTTTATTTGTATAATTTTATAAATAATACATGAACCATAGATATTAGATTTTAATTAGTTTCATTTGATTTTGTTAGATTCATACAAAGAAAAGGAATAAGCTTGAATCAAAGAGGCTCAATGACCTAATCTATGTCAAGTACAATCGATTCTTGAATGATAGGTTTGCTAAAAGAGATAAGAGAGACCCCATCAGATCAAAAAATATGGACTATGCTATGGAGTGGTTAGTTGATGATAAT